CAAGATTAAATTACAGCGATTTGCAATATCGTGATGTGATATTGCTCAGCCTAAATTAACATCTAACATGGTCCTTCAGAAGGAGAAGTTTGCCATTGCAAACCTCCCTCATACTTTCCTGGGACACATAAAGCAAAGCCTTCTCCCTGTGTGCTGATTGCTCAAGGCTTACATGTCTTTGCTACTAAGAAAGAAAACGTCCCACATCACACACGATGTCACTCACTTGCAGGTGTTAAGGTTTGCAACTTATGCTGCGATCCAATTTAACTCATAAATTCCAAGTTCCTGGTCAGAAGGTTCAACTAGAACGCCCCCCCAAGTCGAAATTCCAACTCACAAACTCGGAGGAACTGGCACAACCCGAGCTCAGTGAGACTGGTGAGATTGCTGGTGATACTGGCAGATCGGGTCTCATAGCGCCTGGAGACAGTGGCCTTACAAGCTGCCCCGAGCAGCAAGTGTAGAGAGAGACCTGTGTTACTCAGGTACAAAGATCAGAGAGAAACCCCATTTTAACTCTGCGGCACAAATACAGCAAAGCAAAGCAAGACTGGCCGAATGATAGAATATACCATTTATTAGATGCATGAAAATAAAATGTAGTGTATCAAAAAGAAAACTGTATGAATCATCTACACTTTGCGCATGTTATAACTTATATGGCAAACCCCAGCTTCAGCCAAGTTCCCTGCTTGCCCGACCCCCAGTGTCACATGATGGGCACAGTGCTCCTGTTACAGCTTTCGTTCAATAAAACTGGATGAAAACAACCATAAATCAAAGTACTGCACAGGGTGTCCTTAACCAAAGGAATGTGGCATTTCACCTTAGAAACATACGTATTTTAAAAAACACATTTCATTTTCTTGACAGGGTTCCATGGCGAAATGGGCGAAGAGGATGAAAGGGGGGCAGTTGTGCCTATGATAATACCCTAAATCAGCTAGCCAAGAGCACTGGGGCAGATCCCACACACAAGGGCCCATGACCACTCTGCTGTACAGTGCATCCCACAATGCAGAGGGGTTCCTCACTTCCTGAACAGCAAAGTGGGCCACCAAGGCACAGAGTCCATGCCAGATTCATGTGACAAATCAGGCTTCCTTCCTGTCCACCACCAGGAACCAACCAATCAGGGCACACCTGCTATTCCGTGAAGTGGTTTCATTGGGATTCCCCTGCCTCTATCACTCGTATAGGCAGAAAATGTTTAACAAAAACTAACAAAAGTTTTAAAAAATTTCTGCTCATAACTCGCATGCACGGCCCTCTTTAGGGACGCATTAAGGGGCCCCGAAAGGAGAGCAAGCAGCTGTGAGGCCAACTGACCCCAGGTGCGGATTCCCAAGAGCACGGCGCCGAATTACCACAAGGTAAAATTCCGCTGCACAGGAGGCCAACAAACCGCTGGCCCCTCCAACATGGTTCCATTAAAATCAGAACAACGATGACATATTTTTGTCTTAGCACCACAAATTAGCTTCATTTCAATCCTCGTTTTTGCCGGATAAAGCGATCCCATCAAAAGCTTAAAAATAGACATATTTGCCTTAAAACTTCGACAGCTTCTGTATCAAACAGATGCTCACACACAAACTTGTAAGTAGCAGGCACATTCCAAGTGCATTTCATGGCTAATCGTGTTAGCGGGCAGCTAGGATACGATCACTGAATCACACAGAGTAGGATGAGATGCTGTACAGCAGAATAAAAATGACCTGGCACAGCCCCAGCAACCAGAAGGACTCGCTGCGGCAAGTCAAATGAGCTGCACTCTTCTGAGGCTAAGGGTAGCAGTGCATTGTGGGAGTTTAACTCTAAAAGTCTTTTACATACAAGATCTGGCAAAATGCAGATTTCATTGACTTTTTATTATTTTGGGTGCAAAATAATAATGACTAATAATCACTTCTGTATGTATGTATACACACACACACACCCTCTCAAGGTACTGACCATTTGCACAGCATGCAGAGACGCACTCTCTACCTCAACAATCCTTGAGTGTTATTCTATTATTGTGTGTATTTTTGTGTATTTCAGCTACTGGATGCCTAAATTTCCTTCACAATCAATAAAGTATCTATCTAAAAGCTTCACCAATCTCTGGCCCTGAGGGTTCCAACAGGGGATGGCAAGTAAACAAGTGGTTTCAGTAAAGTAACGGCAGTTTAACACGACCAGACTGCAGCGCCTTCCAGCCTTCACAGTTTGAAGCACCCACTCGAATGCAAATACCTAATGTTAGCTTCATCAGCACCTGAGGTGATGCACTGAAAGGCCACAATAAGAGCCATCCGGCTTGATGAGCAATGAGCATCCAATCCAAGGGAGCAAAAAAGACCCAAAAACAAAAATAAAGACAGTCCATCGTCCTGGATTATTATGGCAAGAATGATTCATATTTGCTACTAGCTTTACACGAAGCACCAGAGATGCACAATATATCAGTCAACACATCAGTATTGGGTGATGTTTGTTAAAAATCAAGACATCAGCATCGGTCCCATGTATCAATCTGGGTCGATACTGCCTGCCAATATTTAGATTTGAATCAATATTCAAAGGTAGCAGCACCGGAGCCAATAACTTAACCACTGAAGTAATGGAGATGATTGCATTGGCTGATCATCCCTTTTCCATGGTGGAGGACGAGGGATTTTAGTCGGCTCATTCACCACTTAAAACCTCGCTAAGTCGGTGCTAAGTCTCCCGAGTTGGTGCTGCATCGCCGATGTCTCAGCGCCTGCATTAATATGACGTGGTCGCAACACAGGATCATGAGAAGTAAAGCCGTTGAGTTCAGAAGTTAGCCGATTATCACAATTGGTAATATTAGACAAAAACATACCGGTATAGGCCTAAAACATCAACGCAACACTCAAATGCACAGCTATTGCAAATATTTTTTTATAATACTACAAATAACCATAAGAGACTAGAAAATTGAAAAATGTTCAAGTCATTTCATAATGACATTTCAGGCATTACTGAAAACTTAAGACAACACCACCAGATATCTCCCACAATGCATCTTTGGCAATGCTCTGACCAGTAAAGGTGAATTAAATGGGGGATCATTTAAATAATTTAGGCATTAAAAAAACCACCGGGCCCTGTGGGGCGGGGGGGCTCCTAACATGGGTGGGACGAACCCTCACGCTGTGTTTGAGACATATACACTCCGAAAATACATGACACACAAATGTAACCACAATTACGAAAAAACCATAGAAAAGACAAGTCTACGAATGAGTGCATAACTCTCCACAGGAAGTTAGACACTGTTAAACACTGCAGGATGAGGTGGGAACTAGGGGTGGCAGGAGGGACTGGCAGGGGAGCAACGGCCTCTGCTGCAGATGGAACCAATCAGTATCATTTGGCTTAACTTCACAGGCCTTGTGATCAGGCAGCAGTAGTTGATCAGTAAGTCCATCGGCCCCCCACAGCACACAATCAGCATTAACACAGTGGGGTGTTCTGGGGTCTGTTTTGTTATCACTCCGGCTGGCATGCCGTACGTCTCAGATGCCCAGACAGCTGAAATCAAAGATGGCATTTCTAAAGCACGAACTATATTAACAGATTCTCTCCAGGGCCATCACCCAAATGGCACCGCTGCGGAACTGAAAAAACTAGTGGTTGTAAGAACAGCTTAACAAATTGTGTGGCTGTTGGTTTTTTCCTTAAGCCCCTCTAAATGCCATTATCTGGTCCCCACACCGCTGAACAGGAAACAGACGGACAGGTAGATCATCAACAATATTAACAGAATGAACAATATCTATCGTGTTACCAAAATCATTGTAACGTGTGCACTACAAACCACTAAACGAATACAACGTCTTTAAGTATGGACACTGATAAACGTTAGGCCGGCAGTGAAAGTAAACTCCCACTGGTTCTGAGTTGCCCCTAAGTGTTACACAAACGCATGTATTGAAACGTCAGCTACACCCCAAGGACAAACCCACCCCGGGGCTAAAAGTTTGTGACAACCACTGAGCGACTACAACACCGCGTTAGTTCTGCGAGGCGATGCTTTAAAATGTAATATAACAAGAATCAATGTAACCGCGGCTTCTTTCCTGCTACTTTGATTCACCGTTCGAAAGCTGCACATGCCACAGACCGGGGATATGCACCGATTAGCATATTTTCGTATCTGATCACCAGATTTATTAAAAAGATCTAAGAATAGTAAATGAAAACAGTGGATTATAGCGTCACCGACATGTAGGTTAACCCCATCAAGATGAAAGGTGTAATCCCAGCTGTTACGGATGAAACGACTTGTCTTTTTCCCCAGCTACAGCGGAGAACTAGGTGGGGCTCGTTATCAGATCAAACCCGACGCAGGGCTTCGCCTGCAAACCCTTAGTTTTTAAAGGGTATTAAAAGCAGACTCGATCGACACATAGTGGACTGAGAGTGGAAAAGGGCCAGGGGGCCTCCGGTTTATGGAGGCAGATGGTTGGGAACTGGACCTCGTTTTAACGCCGTCGAGTCGGACAACTTTTCCCATTTCCGCCGCAACTTCCAAAAAGCCACAGCACCATTTCTAGCCCAACCCGATTCCCAAACCCCTTCCACGGTCCTAGGGAGGGAGAGGGAAGGGGGTGGGGGTACAAGTTAAAAGCCCAGCACCCGTAACTTCCGCGTTGTCTCCGAGGCGGTGAGCAGGGCGGAGGCTGGATGTCGTACAGTCAGGTAAAACACTCGCGTTCGCCTGGTTTCTCTCGCCTTCCGCCATATTTCAGACTTCCGAGGCGCCGCCGCTCGCGAAGCCGCGTCACGCGTGTCGACGCCGGTCCCCCGTGAAAGTGTTACGGCGGCGCTGAGCAGCAGCAGCGGCGGCTGTGCCCCCCCCCGGACGGAAACCCGGACGGCTATAAAGCAGCGGACCGAGCGCAGGCTCGGCACAACGTAACACCGCCGAGGGAGAAAGAAATATAACGAACAGCCAAGATAGCCAGCCCGCGTACTGTACTTACAGTATCCCCCCTCGGCGTTTCCAGAGTGTCCGCGCCGCCGCTGTATCCGTCCACCCTCCCTCTCGGTCTCTCTCAACCTCTCGCTCTCCTTCTGGGTGAGGTTGGGCTTTCCGCATGACGTCATAGCCTCGCTTTCATGCGCCCCTCAAGCCGCGGGTCGTTGCGAACGGTTAGCCCACTGTTGAGCTCGTTCGGTCGCTCGCTTATTTAGTCCATAACATAGACACGTAATTTATATGTTTCTTTATTTCCTCGAGATATTTCTCACAGAGTTATAGACTTCTAGGAGGTTGTTTTATCTCTAGCTTCAGAGCTACCTGTCATCAGCAAAACGGATTTTGATTGCAAGTATGATGAAGAATGATGGTTCACTAGTTTTCCTTTACGACCGGCAGACATTCCATTAATTTGTTACTATCTACCCCAATCAGGGTAATACATCTATCGTAAATTTTATAACCAGTTGCACTACCTAGAATGGTTGTAGGATATTTCATTTTATTGACGGTACACTATTTATGTTCGTTAAACACAAACAAGAACGTGGATCAAATATAGACAGTGTGACTGATGTTATACAGCACGATGGCGGATGTTTAAAATATAGCTGAAAACCACCCCAGAGAAGAAAATACAGATCGGCTCTGCCGAATTAGCGCCTAACTATGGATTAGAATATGCATCTTGAATACATTTTATATATTAAAACACATTAACACACTATCTTTCATGCCATGTGTAGAGTACAGAGTAACACATGGCACACAGAAGTGGACATCCAGGAAGCAAAGTGAGTTCATCTCAGGGCACACATTCCAAACACTAAGTGTAATTTAACTGCATCTAAGTAAACAGTTTTTAGACAAACCAGGACACAAGATTGAAACCCCAAAAACTAGCTAAAGCACTAACCACCATGAGTCACCCTGTCACTCCCATAAACACAATAATCATAAATTGTATCGCATTAATCTTCATCTTAGTGGAGTTTGAACTTTACATATTGATAATTCAATATTGATTTTGTAAGCACATTCACTATTAGCAAAGTTGCAGAGTATAAACACGTGCAGTCTACACTGAAACAGGTGTCATGCACTGTGCTCATTTACTGTGAGCTCCATGAAATGTACGAACTCACCATGGCAACATCTATATTTGCAGTAGAAACATTCTCTTTTTAACCGCACTACCTGCATTTTGCATGCGGGTTTAATAATAAGGGAGTAAACATTTTGCGTCTATTCCAACAGGTTCACCTTGATGGATATGTCCTAATATTCCCTTTCTTCAGAAAAAGACACAATACATTTTTCCGATGGGCGACAAAGTCCAGCCCTTGATTTTGTATATATTGGCGCTGCTTACACAAACTATACAATCTCTCCTTTCCAATATGTACAGTCCAGAATCTTACACGAGGGACAGATTCAGGCATCAGGAATACTGGGTATCAGGACCCCCCAAATCTGCACTGGATTCTGGACAGTTCTCCTGTCTCTGAGCTGAAATATATGTCAGCATGGTTTACAACATATAAAAAAGTTGTACTGCAATTGTGTCCAGGATACTAGGTTATGAAGAGAATCAGATACTGCTTGTATATTGCCTGTATGTTAAGGAGGCTGACACTGCTATCTTTGTACCTGATGGGGTCAGGGGATTTGCAGTCAGTAGCAAGATTAGTGCCGGTCTGACTCACTGCTAGCTGAGCCACTTAGACACAATGGAGCAGTGAATCCTGGCAATTGACTCAATGGCATAATTATGGGTTTGGATGAAAGACAAGTGCAAGGCCAGGCTTAGCCAGGATGTGTAGTAAAGTAGAACAGATTCCACTGCTAGTTGCCAGATGCAGCTGTAACAGAATGTAAAATGGAAACAAAACTACAATAACTAATATCATAGGTTACAAAAGGTTAATTGGCTATATAGAACAGGCAAGACTGTAGTGCAGGGAGACCCCAACCTTAGAGGCTTCCTCTCCTACTGAGGGTTATAAAGCTAAATTTAGAGAATAATACGGATCAACATAAATGGGCAATTCATACACGTTTTTTCACGCTCAAAAAGTAGCCTCAAGACAAGACACACAGCATATATGCATTTAATGTTTTACGGCACCGTTGTATACTTAAGGGTTCACATTTCCTCTGGGGCACTTGGCGATGAGCACGCTGTTAATTTTACCAGGTGGTGGTGTTCTGAAAGTGGGGCTCGCCCATATGTCCACACATTGTATTCAGATCATTTCCCTGCATGACACTGAGTGTGGGATTTCTGAAAACCCGAAAGTCTTTAATATTGATGATTAAGGGCAATAGCAAAATGTGCACAAGGAATAATCAAGCACTTCTCTGTAATGTGTTAAATATTTAATTTGAAAGCCGGTCAGACGCACGCATGCCTTTCCGTACCAAGATCTGACTTAGCGAAGGCATGAAATATAAGTGTTACATCTGCTAAAATAACTGTGCACAGCTGATGGATGAATAACAAGAATACAAACACATAAGGTTTTACTATAATTTTCCTCTCATATGGACATTTTCCCTGAGACTACTGCTTATGTAAAATAAATACATTGTTGTTGCGGTTTATGTAAAACGTATAAGGAAGTGTTTGTGTGATCCAAGGATACTAATATACCTACCATCAATCGTCACTGGGACTCACTTCCTGAAGGATACAGCTCTGGTACAGTTTTGTACCTCAAGGTACAAACAACATTAAAGTGCCCCCAGTGGTCCATTTCTGTACCTTAAAAGGTACATTTACCTACAGTTAGGGTACAATTGGCAGACCCTTGAGGGTACCACCCCAGTGACAAGTAATTGTACCTTCGAACAAAGGGACCACAAGGGGTCACTAAACTGATAAAATAGAAACTAAGGCAGGAAGCAACACCAGAAAACAAGGGTAGACAAGAAACCACAATAACTAACACGGGATAACTATACTGACTACACTTAACAATGACACAGCTAACATAGGGCAATGCCCACAATGACCAAGTGAGGAACAGACCTAAAGCAAACACTTAAATACACTAATAACAAGGCTAGACGAAGGACAGGCGAGAACCATAACCAATTAACCAATCACAAAGGACTCGGGGCTACAAGGAACAGGTGGGTGCAGTCAGATACAGAAAAAAGGCAAACAGCGAGGAAAACTAAAACAAGGCAAACTGAACAAACTGCAAGCTGGGAACAGGGAGCAAAAACAAAGGACTGTAATGAAAATACACAAATAGGGAGAAGACACATGGGCCAAGGCCAGACAGGTACCGATCCTGACAGAGTTTCGAGTCCGACGGTCGGCAGAATGATGTCATCCTGGGCGTTTCATCCCAGATGCTCCAGGGACTGCCTGACTCTGCTTTCAAGAATGTACATCATGATAAAAATGGCCGCCGGACAAATGCAACGTGAGACGCTCATCTCCATTCCTGACAGATACAGCCGACTTCTTCAAGCGCACATTCAAGCATTGGTGCCCCTCACAAACAGGATTAGTAAGACAATCGTGGAGTGCAAAGCATATGTACATAATCCTTGAAATAGTCAGTCAGCATCCTTATCACACTGGCTGGGATGTGTCAGTGCAAAGGTATTGAGCTGGTGTGGTGCAGATCATTGTGCTCTGGTAGAGTCCATTCAGATAACATGAAGCGTATGGTATTTCACTGGTAACAACTTATGGAAGGTGGCATCGATGGGACTCTCGTGAATGTTAACAATGATTAAAATGTTTCACACATCAAGCTTTCCAATAATATTCTTATTGATTGTACATCACTGTGTGGCTCTGTGGCTTGAGTTTTACTGTAGAGTTGATTAGAGGAAGGACAAGCAAAAAAAAACAGAAGAGTAAAAACAGACCCCTTCCTTCACGGATTAAGGAGCGACAGAACAGACATTGGACAGATACAGAACGGGTTCAGGACTGAAAAAAAAAAACAGAACATACGGATAGACAAATAACAGATGCAGTGAAAAACAGGATTTTGGAACACGTGCCCTCTCTTCTGCCTTAAGTACTCGTGGTGTCGGGATAACACATTGGAGAACTGGGAGTGTGTCTGAGTGGAGTCATTTTTTTCAGAGACATCAAGCAGAACATGGGATACCAAAGCAATTTCAAATGGAAAATGAAATATGTTCAGAAATATAATGAAATTGATAGCTGCAGTATTATATAGAATATCTATTGTCATACATACTGATGCTTTTTTGTTTTTGTAATCCCTCTTTTTAATGAGTGAATGATGATCACATGCTTTTCAGCTGTGTTGGTAGGGACCAATTAATGAGGGCACAACATTCATTAGCCCTGCTGTGCGATTCATTTATGGAATCCAATTTGGACTCCTAAATGCAAAGTAATGAAAATGTAAAGCTTGTTTTATTTTATGGAGCCAGTGTGTCTGTCTGCCTGAGTGCATCTTGATGTGAGCTCATATACACACCCACCAGGAAACACACACATGAGCACGTGACAGCAGGGGTGCTGCTGCAGATTCTGGGCCCTCAATACAGACCAATCCAATTATGTTTGAACATGTCAGTCTGGGGCCCTTGGAATCATCCTATCTCCTTCTACCACCCCTCCCTTTATGGTGCCCCTGCGTGACAGCGCAGCCTAAAAAAGTGTAACTTCAGTGCCTGATTGTGCGGGAAATGCAAACCAATCCATCCTTTGATAACACACACAAAACATCTATTTTAAGTGGGTCTGGTTCAGACATTACAGCCCTTTTGTTGTATGTTCACAAGGTGACAAATAAGATTAAATTGCCATGGTGTTTACACTGTGTGCAGAATTAGTAGGCAAGTACTATCCCAGGAGGCAATTTTAAGCAAAGTTAGGCAGTTTTCTTTTGTTCCAAGTAAATTTACTTAAAGAGAAAATATCGGTGAGCACAATTATTAGGCAATCAGAAACTAAGTGGATTTTCTCTCTTTACCATCAACCGAAATTATAATAAAAAACTGTTTTTGTTATTCATTATATATAAGGAATAACATATTGTCAGGTCATAGGTTCAAATCATCCTATACAAATTTCTAAACTGAAAATATTGGTCAGAAGAAAAGATACAAGTAAAATACACACTTGCCTAATAA